AATCTTTGAGTTCTATGTACACGAGGAACATAACCTCAAAATTTCAGCTTTCTAGCTTTTCTGGTTGCCGAGTTAGCGATTTTCCCGCCAAAACTTTCACCCCTCGTACGTAAGGCCCAGACATGCATGAGAGTTGGTACCGCGGTCCTGAGGTGCCACCTGGCCGGGGAACCCACCTGCAACATTTTGGCGCCGGAGCCTGCTTGAGTGCCGAGCTGAAATACACACACACACGCACACACCCACATACACGCACACACTCACACACGCGCACACATACACACCCACACACATCGGGGTCATCACAATATGCATTCTCGCATTTGCATGTATGCAAAAACGCATAATTAGTAAAATTTAATTATTTGTTTAGAGATTAACGAAGAGGTGGGAAAGTGAAGGGAAGGGCATCAACAGTGTGTCTGATGCAAAAACTTTCTTTAAATTCCAAAACAGCAAAGACTGTTATTTGATGCTAACCTGTGACGAATCGGTTACACCTGGTGGTAAATCAGTGGTGCTGCGTGTAGCATCGTGAACATAGTGAGATGGACTCGAACTTGTGCTATGATCGTCGCTCACTGCGCCTGTTCCTGTTGCATCCATCAACAAGTTGCATTCCGTTCCCGCTGCTGCAACAATCTATCTTACTTGGAAAAAAGAAGAAATTCAAAAAGTAAAAGTGTATATTCGTCAAAACAATTTTTAGGTCACCAAACATCAAAACAATTTTTCAGTTCTCTACAAAATTTCCGTGGTTCCTTTATTGAAACAGCTCGAAAACAGCGCAATCTTTTCCTTTTAAATTTCGTGATTTAGAAATTATTATCACATAGAGGAGCAAAACAGGTGTGTACATCTCAACATAAATGTTTGCTAGAATACACCGAAGCTTATCAGGAGAATCAAAACAAAAAATATCACAAAAAACTGCCCCATAATAAACAATGAAACTGAATTTCAATATAAAAAAAAGTGATGAGATGAATGCAAATAAACAGCGGAATCCAGAAAGAGGCAGGGAAAATCCTGGGTGCATGCGGCAGAACTGTCTTCCACTTATTATTCCTAGCAATACCACACGCATCTTTTCTGTTATGGAGAAACAAAAATTACTGTAGCTCATGATTCCATTTGTTGCTCCGCAATCGGCGGAAGACAACCGACCAGTGAACTGACCGCCGGCAGCACTTGCTGATGCAGCTCGACTACCAAGTCGATTTGTTGCTCTGCTACGCCGTCGTAATGTTTGCTTATCACTTCGTTCGGGTGCCACTGTCCAAAAATGACCTGAAATTTATGAAAGTGAAAGGACCAAACCTGGAAAGCTTTCCTCCGCCCCACTGCTTTTGATCATTCCACTATTTTGCGAAACAAAGCGATATACCAAGGCTTCCCAGAAGCCGAGTTCAGAGACAAAAAAAAGTGTTGAAAATTCAAATACCCACCAACAACTCCGCTAGCAGATGTTTGCTTCAGAGGCAATTTAACGAAGCAATCGTGAAGGCTCAAATTATGACGTATCGAATTCTGCCATCCCCACTGATCCGGTCGCTGGCGATAATATGGATGAGTCATGCGAATTACCTGCATACAGTTCTCATTAATTAAAATTTCCCAAAAAATAAATGGCTGATTCCAAAAGCAGTGAGTTATGTGTGAAACTTTTGTCAGTAAAATGACTAAGTCATCCAGGCCCTCAATTCAAATTTTTAAGTTTCGTGCCAAGACAGCAGTACAAAATACATACTGTAATGGATGCGTATGTGCATATGTGCGTGTATATGTGTGTATGTGTGTCTCTGTATGTGTGTGTGTCCGGATTTTTGGCCGAGTTTTTCAACTCAATAATAGGAAAGTTAGGAAGCTGAAATTTTAGGAGAATGTTTCGCGCCCATCTGCGATCCTGGATACTACGATTCTACTTCCCCGCACGCCTCGGCTTTATGCATTGGCACGTGAAAGCTTAGGCGAGAAAATTTTTGTCTTGTGAACCACACAAAACAGAAGAATGAAATTTAAAGGGAATATTTTTAGTCCGTGTGTGAAAAAGAAAATTTAAATTTAACTCCATGTATTCCTGTGTCTCTCATACGAGGATGTGAAAGCAGCCGGACTTTCTAGGTTTACTGAGCGCCTAAGTAGCCGAATAATTTGCAGTCTTGCGCGTAGGCCCATCAAAAACTAGATTCGGATTTGGCTTGCGAAAGGCACTGCGGTGGTGCGCAAAAATGCTGTCGCATATTAGAACTCTAAACTACTAATTTTGAACAGGGCCATTTCCCTGGACCACTCGATGAGAAAAAATGATATCATAGGACAGGTGAGCGAAGCTCAAAACAGTGCCGAGAGGACAAAAAGAATTTAATCAACAAGCTGAACAATATTTCTACTTTCCCGATCAGGCAAACGGCCCTATCAGTAGATTTGTACTTTTGACGAAAAAAACACATGTTGATATCTTTAGAAAAATGACTGAAAGGGCTAAGCAAAAAGTGCAAAACAAAGCGATACGCGCAGCACTTCCTTCTCTATTGCTCACTCCAGAAAAATGCGGTTGATTTTTTTTAAATATTTTTTTTTTGTTTTTTGTAACAACGAAAGAAACATTATTCATAAAAAGCTACAGAGTTTTAGCTCTGCGTCATCGCCGTCACCAAGAAAAAAGCATATATTGTGGCGCCGATGAACACGACGAAGAAAGCCTTCCTTTGCTTTCGAAGTTGTTTATGTTCTGGAAAAATTCAAAAAAAAACCTTTTTTTTTT